TCAAGTGTACCATGGCAACGAAGAATTAAATAATTGACATCATGGAGCATTGCTTCCAGCATTACAGCAACAGTTCACATCTTTTGAAATTCCAGTAGCTATGTGGGGGACACTTCATTGCTGTTCCCCATTGTCTATCTACAGGTTTAAGGCCCTACCTCATGTGTTGGTACGAAGTAGTAGTATACACTGCCTTATTCCAACCACTTCTTTGGTATCTTCTACAGAGAAGGAAAAGTATCTTTCACCCAAAAGCTTTCCAGTGGTAACCTATTCTTGTTCTACTGATTTCTGCATGTTTGATCCTTTTTAGTGCTTAGATAAATAAAACCTTTGTTTCAAGGAATTTGAAATGTTTGGTTTCTGTTTCTAGAGCCAGGTGGATGACCAGGGCAAAGAAAGAAACCATTCTTTCTGAGCCAGGAAAACCTTCAAGGAGGCTCAGAACAGCCTAAATCCCTTGGGTTTAGAGAGAAAGCAGGAACAAGAAACAACTTCTGTAGCGGAAAAGCTCTTTCAGTGTGTGTGGGGGCCTCAAATGGTTTCATTTGTTCTTCAGCCATTTAAACCTTTAAAAACATCCTGCTGTGATAAGATTTCTGTATTAACAGTGTTCAATTTACAACTCCTTGCTACTGAATTTAAAAACTAGAAGAAATTTCAGTACCTATTCTCTATGCTCTCTTTTTATGCTCTGCTCTTTACAAGATGGAACGAGGTGCTTCACTTACTCCTTAGCTGGCAATGTTGTAAGAATCTGATGGGGACTGCTTTTCCTTGTTTTCCATACACAGAGCAGATTAATGAAAATGAGAAGGTAGAAAAAGTAGGGAAAGTGTGGGCCCACTGACCCATTTCTTCAGATAGTGTAGTGTGGCACCCTGTTAGTCCAAGCATCAGATGCAATCTCTGGACAACTTCTTCCTCATTGGTGTGGCACAACAATTTTCTGCTGTGCACTTCCATCCTCTCTACACTCTCCCACTAGGTAATTGAAGACAATAAATAAATCCCCCAGGCATTTGCTTTTCCAGGTGTAACAAATCCAGGTTTCTCAACCTCTCTGAATACATTTTGAGCAGCTTGGCCAGCTTGGTATACATGTATATCTGCTGAACCTGCTGTAATGCTAATGTCTTTCTTGAACTGGACACAGTACTTCAGGTGTTGTCCCACAAGCACTGAATGGAGGGAAAAGAACACTCTAGGTATGTTGAGTATGCCCTCACTTTCAGTGCTGCCAGGACATATTGTTGGCTTACATTCAGCTTGTTGTCTGCAATGGCCTCCATTGTCTCTACAGAACAGATCCTGCTCTGCAGAACAACTCCAAAGAGAGTCAACTCCCAGTCCTTCCTTGCTTGCCTTGGTATCCAGGGGGGCCAACCCTATCCTGGAGTGCATCAAGGATGTCTTTGCCTGCTGGTTGAGGGAAGGGATTGTCCTGCTCTACTCTGCACTAGTGCAGCCTCACCTTGAGTACTGAATGAAGTCTTGGGTGCCACAGTGTGACAAAGATATGAAACTCTTAGAGAGCGCCCAAAGCAGGGCTATGAAGATGGTGGAAAGTCTGAAGTGGAAGGCATATTAGTGGCAGCTGAAGTCCCTAGGTTTGTTCAGCCCAGAACAGATAAGTGAGGGGAGGCCTCATGGTGGCCTGCAGCTTCCTCAAGCTCTGCTCTCTGGGGAACAATGATAGGGGCCAAGAAAATGGCTTGAAGCTGCAACAGGGGCAGTTCAGGCTGGATATCAGGAAAAGGTTCTTCACCGAGAGAGAGGTTGGGCACTGGAACAGGCTCCCCAGGGAAGTACTCGGGGCACTAAGCCTGCCAGAGTTCGTGTTTGGACAACACTCTTAGACACGTAGTCTGATTTTTTGTGTGGTCCTTTGGGGACCGAGGAGTTGGACTTGATGATCCTTGTGGGTCCATTCCAGCTCAGAATATCCTGTGATTCTATGATTCTTACTGATGCATAAGGTTATTCTGCTTCAGGTAGAAGACTATTGCCTTTTTTTTTTTTTAGAACTTTTTTCTCAGTTCATTTTGCAACCAGTTCACATCACAATGTATAAAGTGTTTCCCTATCTTCTTGTTGTCAACAAAATTACTAAGGAAACATTCCGCTTTGTTGCCCAGGTTATTAATGAGAATCTTAAATAATACTGACCCCTGAGAAGTGGCACTCATGCTCAGTCTCACCGTGCCAATGCTCATGTGTGTGGTATCAGACCTAATGTACCGTGGGTTTTAGTGTAGATGCATTTATCTACCAAGCTGTACTTTTACAATCAATGAGGAGATTTAATTTGCGGTTGTTTCAGTAAGATCTGAATCATCTTTACTTTGAAGTTATTCCATAGATGTCTGCCCATCCTAAACTACACCAAGCTTAGATATCAAACACAAAGTTTGGTCAGAATTTGTTTTTACCAGTGAGAATGTGAAATTGTTAATGTAACCAAGTCCGGTGTAAGGGAATCATTTTAAAATATCATCTTTCCAATCTAGATCATATATTTACATTGTGGTCTTCTGACCACTTGGGCACATTAAGAACTTTTTCCAGGTTCTAGGGCAGTTCATTCCAGTAAGCTATTTTCCATTTAACAATATGAAAAAAGAATGTTTTTCTTTTTCTAATATACAAATCTTAGCACACTGGCAAAATACATTTTTCTTTATATATAATTCCTTCTGGAGTTTCTCTCTCTGAAACTTTATACACCACATGTGAATGTTGTATGTAGTTTTGAGTCCATAATAGTCATATCGCACTTACATATTGCACTTCTCTTCCTTTCAGCACAAGACTGGTTTCCACATCCCTCAGAAGTACCTAACTAATATTATGGGGCAAATCTGCTTTTCTTTGCTGACAGAATCTTTTGACACACAAATCCTCTTTTTTGAGGGGATTGTTGCTTTTTTTTTTTTCTCTCTTTTAAATAAGAAACAGATAGTCTGGGAGCTTTTCATGGCACATTTTGTTTGTTTTCAACAAATGGAAAATGATTATAAATGATACTGTTTCCTAATGATCTACAGTGGGTATAGTCAAATGACAGGTCTAAACAAATCCATTTCTATAATCTTCTGTTGCCAACAGCCTAAAGCACTCATCAGTTGATCCCCTTTAAGCTCAAAGAAACCATTTTCTGCTTACTTCAGTCTCTTGCCTTTCCCAGACTACCAGAACAACTTACTTCATGTCTTTTACTTTCATAAACTTTTCTCCACTTTCCTGGGTATGGGGATGAGAATGAAATGGGCAAACACAGAAAAAAAGGAATAAGAAAGGGCTGATTTTATTCTGCTTTTGCTTTTTTGAAAACTGGTACAACAAATGCTTCTTCTCCCATTACATATTACAGGTGGACAGCTGCTTCTTTACACAGTATTGGACAGAGCCTTAGCACTAGACAGACCATAATATTTGTTAAAGATGTCAACGGTATTGCCATTTGCTAAGTAGGAGCAAATGCTGCCTGTGGCAAAGAGCTTTTGTGCTGCAGCATGTGAGCTTATTTTTCCAGCACTTTAATTTCCAGACTAGAAATCTATCCAGTTCTTTTCTTAATGTTGTGATCTTTTGCTTTGAGAAAAAAAGGCAAGGTTGAAGAAGAAATATTGTTGAAAATTTCTAGGTTGAATAATTCTTAATTCCTGTTCTTAGGGAACTATAATTTTATTTTTTTATTTCTGGACATAATGAAGTCTGTCACATTACCCTACCAGTGCTCCAACCATCCCTAGGACACATGAGCCATTCTATTGCTTTTTTCTTGACTATCTCCAATTTTCATATTTTGATATTTGTGCGGGAAGTTTATGTAATGTCTGATGCAATTCTAATTGAAAAGTCATAAATGTGTCTGACAAATCACCTCTCATCACCTATGTACCAAGAATACATATGGATGAATTAAGCCAGGAGCTTCCTCATGTTGAAGAGCAATATCAAGACTCTCTTGACAAAGGAAAAAACACAAGAGATCTTTGAAAGTCTTTGAAAAAAATCTCAAGTTTGTTTCCAAGTATTGTTTCTACAGTTCCCATCTAAACCACACAAGAAGATTTCAAGCTGGTTTAGAATATGTATTTCAGATGAATAACTGAATTATCACTAGCAGAAGTAGAAACAAATGATGACGAAACCCTTCTAAAGTCAATTTTTGCAAATGTCCCCCTGGAAAGAAAAAAATAAATCCCTTTGCTCTGTTTGACAGAAGTGTATATAGTACAATTCCCTTTAGCCATAAAACATAGGAAGATTTTCCTTTGTGAAGGCAGATACTGAGGTAGAATGCATTTTTTCCACATCTGACCTTTACCTGACATTTATATAGTTGATAGCAGGGTGAAATAAGTCTGGATTTTCAAAAAGAGTTGTTTTTTTTTTTTTTTTTTTTTTTTTTTTTTTTTTTTTTTTTTTTTTTTTTTTCCCTCATGGTCTACTTATAGACTAGTATATATTTTAACCTTCCTTTGGGCCTTCAGCTGTTATTTTTTCTGTACATTATATTTCATGGAATTAATTGCTATATGAGAATGGTCCTTTTAAGACTGATACTGAATTATCATCACTGGTGTGTTTTGACTTCTAGCAGAAGGACTCTAGTAAAACTGGAGCTCTCCCTTCCCATTATTATTAGCTAGGTCCAATGTCTGCGTATAGCTGTGCAATTAAATTTCAAACAGTTTGCACATGTATTTTAAAAGAAGTCAAGAAGATCATTGATTAATGTAAATTACCAGTGTTCAAAGAAACATTGAAATTTGTACTGCCAGCTCCAGTAAATACAATGTAGAAAAAGCAAACTATTTTAACATTTCAGTTTAGCTTATTGTACATCAAGGAACACACTCTGTGTCATATGTTTTGAACTCTACTGAAGATGGAGCTAGAGTAAAGGCAATTCCAATTACATTACAACTCATGCAAATTATCTTGGAGGCTAGGCGTTCCTGGGCTTGTCCTGTACTTGGATAAAAGACCATCTGGAAGTCCCAGTTGCAGTAGGCACAAGCCAAGACATTGTGGCTGAATACTAGACCACAGAAAGTGAATGAGTTAGAAGACTACATTCTACTCCTCATCACTGGTGGGTGAGTCAGAGCGATGAAGTTACCGATGCTGTTTTCGTTCCTTCAGTGAGAAATGTCTCAGGAGAATACTGCAAATTAAAAACTCTAATATTAGAAAGTGAAGTTATATGAAACTTAAGCTCCATAGGAATCTTTAACCAGGGTTAAACAATCCTACCCTCTACAATGTCTCTGAAAAATCTTACACACTTACCAAAACTTGGCAGTATTTCTGTACTGGAGTTGACATAGGACAAATAGATTGGTGTTCTGGTGCTGCTGCTCTTGCCTATCAGGCAAGTCCTGGATAGTATGACTGGAATGTGAACTTTTCTTCTTCTGCCTTCTTTTTACAGAAGTGAAGAGCTTTTTTTTTGGACCTTTTTTAGCGGAGAAACTGAAAAGTCTTACTTCTGAAACAAACAAACAAACAACAAAAAAAAAACCATTTGACAACCATTTAAGTAATAGTACAGTGGGGGAAGTAGCCCTGAGCATTTAGGAACCTAGCTTTTTGTTTATTTATTTATTTTTATTTATTTATTTATTTATTATTATTATTATTTTAAAGCAGGAACCTTGTGTGGAAGATTCAGTAGATCAAGAAAAGCTCCCACTTCTTTCTGGGAAGAGAACTGGGGTGTGTGGAGAACTGATTAAAAACAGGAAGGATGGAGGTAAAGGAAGAAAGAAAAAGAGAAAATATAAAGTGAACATGTAGAAAAACTCCCCTAGAGGAATAAAAAAAAAAAAAAGAGCATAAACTACTACTAAATCCTTTTAGGTGAAATCTTCTGTTCTATTTTTGCAATGAAACAATATTATAAATTAATGTCTGGATCATCTGTGCCAAATCACTAGCTCCAATATAAGATGAGAGAATTTAAACACATTCAGAATTTGCAAAGAAGAAATTTAATATTTGGCCTGATAATAACAAGGTTGAAAGACACTTATTCTTATGGTCAGCTAGAAGATGTACAACTTTTAAGATGATAGACTGAATCATATAAAACTAGAATAATTAAGTCCAAGTGAAAAGCTACTGTGAACATTAACCATAATTCCCACCACCCAGATTCTGAATACGGCTGTTGCTACAGGGTTGTTTTGCTGAATTTCTCTTCACTGAGTAACTCTTTTCACCCTTTCATTGTCTCCTTTTCTGGCAGGGAAGCACATTCTTTGCTCCTGTAACTTAATTACAAACTCACAAACTTAACCATATTGCCATGGTCTAGTATCACCACAACCTGGCAGATGCCACTGACTGAAAACACAGATCTACTTTAAAGTAAGTCCTACAGATGCTCTGTTTCTGTATTTAAAAACACATTTTCCATGGCATGACAACACTGTCTATACATCCTGGTTACTGACACCAAAGCTGCTTTGTGTGGTGATTTGATTTTCATCTCTCAGAAACTACATTTATTCAGAATAGATATTGCATGTAATGATTCTTATTTAAAGAGAGTCTGAATTTTTAAATACTTTTTAAATTATTATAATAATTACTGTAATATAATTGCCAATTAGGTTGCCTGCTTCAGAGAATGTGTTCTTTGATTTTAAACAGCTGTGATCCCATTTGCTTAGTTCTTTGTATCTTATGAAAAGGAAACAGGATCAGGAATGGTTTTGGAGATCTTCCTACTCATTAGATTAATGCTTTGATTCCTAAACTTTTGCTGTACACAGAAAAGCACGCATAAAGAATCTTCTCTCTGACACAGTGGGTTTGTTGCATTCCATTGTAAGCTATTATAACTTTATTGAAGTCTGTTGGGTTATAGTGCCTAAGACTAATATAAGCATGAGCTTGAGACTTTGCTGATACAAAACCTTGTGATTAGGGCACAAGGTTTGCCATAATGTGAGCTACAGAGAAATCAAAGGAGTGCCAATTATATTTGAATTACTTGAATTTCCTGTCTTTTTTCTTTATTTGCCACTGAAGTTTTTTGAAACGTTGCCTTATAAATCTGTTCAAATGTATGCTGCATCCTTACACCTTTCAAAAAAGGTTTAAAAAGAGAGAGAACCTGGCCCACCATTGCCTAAACCTTTTCAAATGTAAAAAAAAAAAAAAAAGTGTCTCAGTATTTGAATTACCTAATTTCACCTAAACTTTTTTTTTTTTTTTTTTTCAGATGTTGAAAAGAAGAAATTCTCAGTGTTCCTATCAGCATCTATGCTACATAATTTCTTTCTTGTCCCATATGTAAACAGACAGGAATTATCAAGAATGGAAGGCTATGTCAAGGTTGCAGAAAGAACTATGAAACTGTGAAGCTGATTGGTTGACTAATTCAAGGGATGAAGTATGAATTAATCTTATATGAAAAAATAGGAATTCATACTGTAAAAAAGCAAGTATTTTAATATTAAAGAACAAAAATACAAGAAAAAATGGAGAGCAGTCAGTCTTTTCAATCCCATTTTTTAAGATTTGTCTACGCAGAGCTTCTTAGAAAGAAACTCTTCAAAATACACCTTTTTAATGGGATCAAATAAGCTTATTTACAAATTTGATAATGGATTCTAAAAGAACTGTCAGTAATGAAAACTGTGTCTTGGTGAGAAAATATTCTCAACTGAGGACTGATGAAACCTGTTTTAAGTCACAGTTTATCATAGTAACTTCTAAATAACAAATTGTGAAATTATTATCTAATTTTTCTGGAACCTAACATATAGGTTTCCGTATAAAATTTTCATTGAAATGTTGTTTTTAAAAGGCCAAACCACTGACGATCAATAATCTTAAAACTGAAATAGATCAGTCTTCCTCTTCTTCTTCCACCACCTCCCCCCAGATCTTATAAAAGTTTAATCTCTCTCACAGCAATGTAGGTGCTAGGTGGTTTTATAAGAAAAGCTATTAAATTACATTTCCATTCCAATAGCTCATTAAAACCTACCCAATAATTAAATATAACCTTCCAACTATCTTTTGGTTCTGTTTTGATGGCCCACCAATGGCTTGCCAGAGGCCCTGAGACACTATAGCTCATACCAGAAATTCATTTTCTCTTGAAATATGCTGTAGTTTCATTTGTTCTCTTCTATCCTTAATGGGCTGGTTGATACTTGATCCCAGAAATGAATAGGATAGGCTACAGTGAGTGTTTTAAAATCAAGGATGTGAGTCAAGGTGCAATCAGAGGTGTTTTTTAGAAGCCACAAATTCAGTAACTTCACTGGAAGTGGGATGTGAATTTCTCATTGAAAGAAAATGTTTGTGTTTCAACTTCAACAAGTGCTCTTGTAGTCTCAAACCAGAAAGTATTTAAATACTACTGGTAACACAGAGAAGCTGAGATGACACGGCACAGTCTCTGTAGAAACCATTCTAGAATTCCTTTCTGTATTGCTATAAGTTGTTTAAAACAAGCATTTTTTGTCCTTAGCTCTGTCAAAATATTGGGAAGTCATAAGGACTAACTAGTTTCAATTTTGCTCCTTGATAGCTAGATGAGAACAGGAGGAAATCTTGCATCTGATGACAGGCAATATCTGTCTTGTAGAGAAGACTGGATAGCTATGAATCTTCTCAAAATTAACATGTTATGTATCCCCTTGCATATCCATCGAAGTTTGTTCATAAACTCCAGCTTTGTCAACGTGTTTGGATGATGTTTTTTAAACAACAGAAGCAGCTCTGAATTCTTTTCTTTATTTTTCTTTAACTTTCCAGCTTTAGGATAAAAGCCTGACCCAAGCCTTCACTGCATTTTTTTTTTTTTTTGACTATTCTCTGTACTATTCTCTGAAAGCAGCAAACATATTTTTGCACTTCACACAGAAGAAATGTGATTACAGTAAATTCCCAAACTTCCTATAATTCTATAATCATTTTCAGTTCTTAGTGTTCTTATTTCCAAGATACCAAGTCAAAGTCTCATTGTCTGTCTGATGTGCTGTGAACCTTTTAATATAATTAGAAATTAAAACATCTGGAATAGCTATGTGATCCACAAAGTAGTGCATGAGTAGAGTCAATATAATAATGAATACATTTGTAAGAGTGCTGCAAAATTTGTTCCTCCTCTTAATTTATACCTAGTCATAATCTTTGTTTCTGTTGTCAAAATTGTATGTAGATGACAGACCATGAGGGCAATAAGTACAGAGCAAATCCTTTATGGACAAAAGTCCATGGCTGTTGGTGGAGTCATTCAAGGTGGGACCTTTAAAATGGGACTGGACATTTTTGCATTAATGTTGACATTAATGTTGTATAGAAAGGTGAGTGATTCTCATTACTACCATGATTATGCTCAAAATCACAATAGTACTGGGATTTGAAAATATTTTATGTCTTATTGAATGTATATGTTTGAACTTCTATTTGTAAATATTTTTTTTACCTACACCATGCACATTTATAGCTACCTATCTGTCCATTGACAAAAGTCTTAAATCATAATAATCCATGTCTAGACAGAAGATAAAGGGGGAAAGGGGAAAGATGGATTGATTAATCAAGTGATGGAGTTTAAGAAAGAATAACAAAGTCCTGCCATATGAAAAATGCTTTGGGGAAGATGTATGACATTTACCTTATTATACCAGAATATTAATAACAGTAAAAGCTAAGAAAAGGTTATCACTGACATTGAAAGCATTTTCATATTGTTGGAAAATTAATGTATTTTCCCACAAAATAAATAAATAAATAAATAGAAATCCAGTCTTCAGAAAATAAAATTAAAACAAAAAAGTAAAAGAGACTGCAAAAGGCTGTGCTGTTGGACAAAACCAGACACGCATTCTTCAGCCCTGGATGAAGAAAACTCTGGAGGAGGTGACACTGATGTCTGGGACTGCAAAGGTCATATTTATGTTACGTTGGTTTAGATGTTCTCTTTGGCATAGGAATCTGATATACTGCGCAGGTGTCTTGGTTGGAAATGCTGGGAAGAGCTGGGGCTGTAATTCCTAGGATTTACTTCCTATTAGGGGTCAAAGCAAGACCCTGGGTGACACTTTGGATGAGGTTGGCTGTGGGGGTGGAAGCTGGGTGGAAGCTAGATAGGAAAGAAACAGAATTTAAAGAGATCTGAAAACCCACAGTGACTGTCAATGTAAGATGAGAAGACAGACAGTATTTCAAGGACTTCTCAGGAAGTGGTTTGGCAGAGGCCATAAAGCCAAGACTTGGAGAAAGAATTGGTAACATATAAAGACCCAGGTTGATAGCATTACAGAAAGCAGTGAGAGGAAGAGATATGGCAACAACTAGTCCTCTACATGGGTCTTTGTAATTGGAGCAGAGGAAGTAGGAAATAAATTGTTGCAGACAATAAGAATTAGAAAGTAGGTGCTTATCTTCTGCAAATAAGCTTTACCTGTTATCTCCTTGGCTTTACACTTTCTATTAGGTGAGACTATCTTGGTGGCACTTACTTGATTAGATTGGGGTGTATGAACAGCTGCAAAAACTCAGTGATGACGGTTTCTAGGTTACTTTTCTTTCCCAATTGACAGGACAATATTTCTAATCTAATTTGCCCTGACTGCAGGTTTTAACCTTGCACCTTGCTGCAGAAACAACACAATATTGGGACAGCATGAAATCTTGCTCTATTAACAAGCAGTGCAGAAAGTAGATGTTCCATTCAACATCTGAAAGCCAACAGTCAAAATAAATAACCAAAAGCAACCCAAAATACAAGTTCAGGGAAACAAACTGAATAAGAAAACAAACAAACAAGCAAACAACAACAAAAACTGAAAAAAGAAAAAGGGAAAAGAAAAGATAGTTTGTGTAGCATATTTGCCTGTTATCAGCAGCCTTGTTCTGCTCTAAGGCAAGATAATCAATATGAGAATGTATGTTCAAAAGACACAAGAATTCAAAGATGAGATTTTTGGCTTTATTTGTATAGGAGCACCAGTCTCATGGGAAGTCACAGAAACTTGTAGTCCAAAGTAATGTGAGCATGATAGGGGAAAAAAATATCTCACCTCAACACTTTCCAACAAATATTTAGTGCATTTCAATAGAAATAAACCACTTGCTCCTTTCAGGATGGCTTCAGTATGTCTCTGGACATCTTTGTTTCATAATCATTTTTCTCCCTCTTGATTTTCTTCCCAGATCAGTATCTGTAGCAATTAGAGGTGCAAATTAATTACTTGAAATATTTTTTTAGCCCTCTAATTAAGTGCTAAACTCTGTTAAAGGAATTGCCATTGCTAGAAGTCTTCTAAAGGTAATCTGATAAAAACAAGATAGGAATTATCACTAGTAAATAAACATTGTTTCTATAGCACACACACACAAAAAGAAAAAAAAAAAAACTGATTTGATTTTATGAAAAGAAAAAGTATGAAGGGGGAATATCTTTCTGAACCTCCCTCTCAGTAAGAGGGATTTTTTTTTTTTTGTACTTTTGTGATTCCCTTATGATATATTTCATGTCATGTCTGACTTTTTATTGTGTTTGAGTGGGAACAAGAAGTCTTGCTCAAGAGGATTTTTTCTACTAGCCTTTCTATAGAATGTAGCTTCCTAATGTTCAGCATACATGTACAGGAAAGATTAACGAACCTTGATGTTGCATAGAGAACTATGGGAAAGAACCAGTTGTGAGGCACAATGACAGTTTTAAATGGCAACAAGTGCTTTGCTCACTAGTATGGTTATGCTAAAACATTAAAGCTAAAGCTCTTGATGCTGTGAAATTGCATCCCTATATCCCCAGATTCTAGGACATACTCTCCCAATGGTGAGTGACTGAAGGTACTTTGTACCCCTCTGTCTTGGAAAGACAGAAAGAGATGAAGGTGAGAATCTATATACATATGGTTTTGTACAGTAACAGTATTCCCTGACCAATATGTTTAATCAAAACTGAACATCTGTTTAATTCCAAATATCACACAGTCACAACGTACCATTTGTTCTCCAGATTGAAGATTATTTCAAGTGTACATACAATGAATAATTTCCAGTGGTAACATTTAAAGACTTACAAGGTATTCAGAGACAATCTGTACAACACTAATAGGGTTTTATTTGAGCAAAAGCACATTTTTTTGCTGATATACCTTACTCATTTTTTGGGTGATGAATGTTGGACGGCCTCAGTCATACTCACAGGAAGGAACTCCACTAGAAGTAAGACAACTTTTCTGTGTTGTGGCCCGGACACTAGCTAGCCCACTTTATGTAGATGCAATTCAAGCTTGAAATATCAACTGAACTTTATATATTAGTAGTACCCTTAACCACCAATAATTAAGAATGAAGAGCAGAAAGATCAAAATGGCAAAGAATAATTCTTACTAAATCCACTGAGAGACACAGACATTTGTTATGTATATGCACTAGTCTGGACTGTATAATGAATAAATTTATTTATTTATTTTAATATGTTGTCGTTGTTCAAATCAAATTAACAG